GAGAGAGAGAGAGAGAGAGAGAGAGAGAGAGAGAGAGACAGACAGACAGACAGACAGACAGACACACACACACACAGACAGACAGAAAAGACAGTCAGGAAGCAGCAAAGACGCAGACAGACAGACAGACAGACAGACAGACAGAAAAGAACTGATCTATACGCATGTTTGGGTGTTCGTAAATTTAAAAAAAATGTTCTTGTATTTTACGCCACCATCAACACAAATTTTGTCATTATTTTAGGAGGTGGGTTCCCGTCTACCAGGGCCAACCTGGACTGAGAAGATTACAGCGTTCCAGTAGAAAGACCGAGATACTCGATACAAATTTTCTCGCCTCTTTTTCTCAGGTATCGAACACGAGCCTACTGCATGAGACAGCAAAACCACTAATCCCCACTCTGCAGACACCGGTAATCAAGTATTAAAATACATTTTTTTTCTTTTAAAAAAAAAAAAGAAGAAAAGAAATAAGAGTGTGAAACATTTGGTACGCCAACAAAAAGAAAAAAAGAATGTAATAAAATAAGTGTGAAAAACATCTAGTACGAAAAAAAAAACCCGAAGCAAAACGCCAAATAACCAAAGAGGTCAGCAGACGTAAGCGGAAGCTAAAAAAAAAAAGCAGGCTTCACGATAAATAAAATGCGGAAAGACCAACCTCTTTCCTGATGCAAGATTCGATCTGGTCACAGCTGTCCCGCGTGTTGCCCATGACAACCATGTTGTGTATCCGTTCCTTGTGACGCACTGAGTAAGGGACGTAATCATTGTCGACTCTCTGGAACAGGACTGGCTCGCTGCGCAAATTCAGCACCAACACTTCCTGTAGGATAAATACATAAATAAATAATAAATAAGTATATATATGTAAAATATAAATGAATAAAAGAAAAACTAACTAACTAACTAACTAACTAACTAACTAACTAACTAACTAACTAACTAACTAACTAACTAGCTAACTAAATCATACATAAATATTCCATAAATCGATAAAAGAATATATACATAAAAGAATAAATAGATAAACAGCCAAGATTGTTATTTAACTTTTAATTATCACAATTTGACAAGTACACAAAACGCAGGTGGGGTGTGGTGAAGAGAGAGAGATGGAAAGAGAAAGGGTAAAAAGGGGGTGAGCGAGAGAGAGACACAAATAGAGAGAAAGAGAGAGAGATAGATAGATAGATAGAGAGAGAGAGAGAGAGAGAGAGAGAGAGAAAGAGAGAGAGAGACTATGCTTTGAGTGCAATGTCCAACTAAACACAACCTGGTCATCATTACAGGGTAGTCCAACACTCTCTGGTTTTGGGCTATCTACTTCTTTGTGAGTATGTGAAGCTGGACTTTTGAATGAAAAATTGCCATGAAGACGTAAGGGCAGACAGATCGTCGTACAGTTACACAGATATCTCCTATAGAGTGTTATAAAGACGCACAGACATCTTACAGACTGCCATACAGACACACGTATTTCTTACAGATAGTCATAAAGACACACATATCTTACAGATAGTCATACAGATACACTTATATCTTACAGGTAGTCATAAAGACTCACATGTACCTTTCAAACCTTCATACAGACCCGCAAATATCATTTAGAGCGTTATACAAACCTACACGTATAATTAAAACAGTCACACAGACACAGACAACATATACAAATACACATATCATCTTATTATAAACACACTCACAGCTATGCAAATGCACAGATCGTCATAAAGATACACATACTCGTATATCTTACAAAGCGTTATACAGACAAAGAGACAGTTATACAAACACACAGATAGTCATACAGGCACGCAAATAATATCCTTACAGACCGTTATACAGACACTCTTCAGAACGCCATACACACAACTATATTCAAAGCATCATTCAGACACACAGACAACTATACAAAAACAAAGATGACCAACCAGACAGACAGATAATATCCGTACGGACCGTCATGCACGCACGCACGCACGCACGGTTTCCGTTTGAGGGCTGAAGGGAAACAACAAACTTACAAGAGACCCGCCCTTCATACCCCCATCTCTTCGATGGAAAGAATGGAGAAACAGAGGGAGATACTGTGTGACAGAGGTGTGAAAGAGAAAATGAGAGAGAGAAAGAGAGAGAGAAGAGGGAGAACTTAGGAGAGAGAGAGAGAGAGAGAGAGAGAGAGAGAGAGAGAGAGAAAAGAGGGAGAACATAGGAGAGGGAGAGAGAGAGAGAGAGAGAGAGAGAGTGAAAGAGAGAGAGAGAGAAAGGGAGGAGGAGAGAGAGAAAGTGAGAGAGAGAAAGAGAGAGAGA